GCTTGTACCCTCTCACCTGCAGCAGTCAGGGAAAGTGTAATTATGACAATGTTTATCCCTTTCTAAACTGAGAACTTTCAAATTAAATTCAAGGATGTTTTTAAAAAGAAATTGTGTGTTTATAAAAAATGTAAATTAGTGGAAAAGCATGCAAATCTTAAGGGTGTTTCAAAAAGGTGAGTCTTCAAAGATTTAGATAATTTGTCCTGAGGTGCTCTGTAGTTATACTATCTCATGTGTCATAACAACTGTATTTAATCATTTATAGTTTTGATATTTTTGTAGTGCAGATCTGGACAGTAATAGTTGAAGATAGTCATCAAGGGAGAAAGATGCAGCTTTCAGGAATATTAATTTTAATAATCCTGATAAGACTGTCAGATACTGTATATGCGGACAGGGATGATTCAAAGTAGGTTCTGTTATTCTTTTTAAAGTAACAAATTAGCATGGATAAAACAGCATTAGTTAAAAATTTTATACACAGAAATATCTTTTATCTCCTCCCCAGTCCTTGTCTCCAAAGAAAAATCCTCCGCAGACACAAGTGAAATTCAAGCGATGAATATGTCAAATGGAACTTCATTGCATTGTGTAAAATACATACAGGTAAAGAAAATAACTGTTTGGGTTGCGCCCTGTATTTCAGTTAAATGGTTTTCATGCAGTATTAATAAATTGTATCAATCTTCAAGATTTTCTTGCTCAATGAATATTGTTTGGGGAAAACTTCTTAGGCAGTTTTCACCTCATGCTGCTTCCCCACCTTCTTTTACAAGCATCTGAATGCCGACAGGTATACAAGAACAGAGCTAGCTCTGCCCGTTGTTTCAGCTGGAAGAACTATTGTAATTTTAAAATATTGTAATCCATAGGAAGAAAAATGCACACAAGCTCACATGTAGAAGAGATAATAAGGACATCTAAGAGACAAAACAGCTTATTTGGCTGAAAAGATGTGACTTTGTATGTTAATTTTACTGAGGAGTGTACATGTCACATTCACAAAAGAACCTCATATTATGCCTGTAAGAACATTTCATATGGTCAGCCAGAATAGCTTTATGGGTTATTCCTAACAAGATTTTTTTTCTTCAAGAAAACGCCTCTTATTTCCACTCGAAAGAATTGCTTCCTGATTATGGTTTGAGAAAAAAAATGGCACTTAGCAGGAATGCAGTTTTCTTAAGAACCATTTGAATATCAAACCAAAAGAAATAGAATCTTTTATGGACAATGAATGGTTGCTTTTGAAGCTTTTTATTTTGTAGTAATACATTTTGTAGACAAAAATTCAGAAATTGTCTTAAATTATGTACTAAAGTAAATTTATGCAGATTTGTTTTAATTTCCAGGCTTAGGAGCTTTGGTAAATTTGTTGAGATAAATGTTTGGCTGATTTGATTTTTCACATCCTGTAGTATTGAATATTTTGTACCTGTACAAAAGAAATTACACACAGCAAAATCACCATCAGTCTGTAATGAGTAATACCGTACATGACATTCTACATTTCAATACAAATAACTATGTGTGACATTTTGAAGTATAATTTAGATGCATATGTGCATTAGGGGGATTTACTAGCTCTACCCTAACTATATACTTTTCACTTGTCATCCTATATATATACAGTATAGTGCTTTTCTGGACACTCCACTCAAAGCTCTTTACAGGTAATGGGGATCCCCTCCACCAGTGTGCAGCCCCACCTGGATGATGTGACAGCAGCCAGAGTGCACCAGTACACTCCCCACACACCAGCTCTCAGTGGGGAGGAGAGCAGAGTGCACCACTACACTCCCCACACACCAGCTCTCAGTGGGGAGGAAAGCAGAGTGCACCACTACACTCCCCACACACCAGCTCTCAGTGGGGAGGAAAGCAGAGTGATGAAGCCAGTTCAGAGATGGGGATTATTAGGAGGCCATGATTGGTAAAGGCCAAGGAAAAATTTAGCCAGGACACTGGGGTAACACCCCTACTGTTTTTAAAGAGACATTGGTTTTATGTCTCATCCAAAGGTCAGTGTCTTTTTTTATAGTATAGTGTCCCCATCACTGTACTGGATCATTAGGACCCACACAGACTGCAGGGTGTGTTCCTCCTATATATTTGCACAATTTTCCCCCTTACTCTAAGAAACAGTAGAATGCTCTCCCAGTCTCATTCTTGCAATGAAGCATTGGGCTTTCCTGTAGCCATTTTCTATTCCTTTGGTCTGGTACCTTTTGCCTGTCTTTCAGACTGACCTGCAGTTTATTTACTTCTAAGAATAATTTGACTTACATGCTGGTATATGACCATTCTGTACTCATGGAGTCAGAAACTGTGTGCATGCCAATGTAAAGGAAGCAGGAAATCATAGTCCAGTACACTGAAGGTTTGAAATGAGTTTTAAGTCGCGCTGGAATTCTGCCCAAGAAGACGCACACAAGGTGTTTCCCCTGTGGTGCTCTGAATCCAAACAGGCTTGCAGGACATTTAATGGTCTGAGTACAGCTCTGGTCACCTCTGTTATGACCATGAATGGGTGTTTAGAAGTGACTGTTGCATATGCAATAAAACTATACAGGAGGTTTTTACACACGGTACATTGTCTATTTCTGATTCGGTTATGCCTGCCTTTCAGTTATTTCTGAAATGTCACGTACAACAGGTGTCTGTTACTTAAAATCCACTCGGGCTAGGTCAGGAATGAACCCGTGTCATGGCAGGCTCTACACCAAAACTGCACTTCATTTTGGCAGGAAACTGGCTTTGTGAAAGATATTTTTTACAATTGCAGACGGCCAGAAAATGCTGTGTAAATGTGCATAAAAAATCTATAGAAGTGTTTGACCGGGTTTCCATTAGCTGATTTGCCCCATAACTCCGCTGTTCAGGAGTCGCAGGAGTGTCCTTTTTCCCTCACAGTGATGGATGTGGTACTTGGGTGGGTCAGGTGCTTAGTGTTGCCTGAGATGCTTCTTTTAATCAGGTGTCCAGCAGCACTAACCCCCTCTGCCAGCTAGTAACGGCTAATAAGTAGTCATCCATCCATCCATCCATTTTCCATGTGCTTTATCCAATACCTGGTCATGGAGGAGCCCGAGTCTATCCCAGCAAGCAATGAGTGCAAGGCAGGATTCACACTGGATAGGATGCCAGTCAGTCTGAGGGGGCACTCACACACCAGGGCCAGTTTTCCCTGAAGCCAATTCAAATACCAGTATGTGTTTGGACTGTGGGAGGAAACCGGAGCGCCCAGATAAAATGCGGGGGGAACATGCAGACTCCGTGCAGACAGCACCCTAGGAATTGAACCCAGGGCCCCAGTGCAGCGCGACGGCATTGCTAACTACTTTGTTACTCTACCGCCCCATGAGTTATCATATTAAAGCTCTAATTTAAATCCAATATTTAAATTGACAGATTCAATGCGAGAATGTATAATCAAGAGATTATTTAGATGCAGAAATGGTTTTACCCAGTATTGTTTTTTACCAGCATTTAAAAACCAAAGCCTTTACTCTAGAGAGCTCAGAAAAAAAATATTTGTAGGTTCTATTTTATTTATTTCCACAATTTAATTCCATGCTTATTTCATTCCACTTGATATTTCAATCCCTCCTGGCACAAATATTTAATTGAATTTCACTGACTGCATTACTTTGTGTGACTGAAAGCCTGTAGAATGTGCACCTGTGATTGCTAACAAAAGGGAGGGGGAGGTTATGAATTCGTATTCTGCTGTAGTCTAGACTCCTGTGCTTTCTAATTAGATTATTCTAACTTCATCTGGTTTCTCCACTTAAATGTCTGATAATTGGATATTTAGTGAGATTTCTACATTTGCTATATTTTTTACAGCTTTTTATTATGTATAGTACATACCCTGAGTAGAATTGTTAAATATAACTTTACTTCCTGGCTCACCCTGTACCCATGTGGGAGTTATGAGGAAGTGCAGTCAGACTCATTTGATCTGCCTGGCCATTGAGCCATTAATTTCATATGCTGTCGGCTCCATGGCGACATACAAGAGAGTCACAGCCTATTGGAGGAGATGCGTGTCCCTCAGTGATGTCATCATGAGCCTACAGGAATTTGCTGGGAGCTACACGAGCCCCAGCTACTGTAACTAATCCCAGCCCAGCCTGGCAGTGCTGAGCCAGCCGTGCACTGCTGTTTTTTATAAAATGATAGTTGTTGCTAAGACTATCTGCACAGTTTTGCAAATGCTTGTCCATACTTCACACAAAACGTCAGATTTTTTAACACTTTTTTGGCAATGTTATATAAAGAAGGTGACTTTCTTCACTGCACTGAAATTCGTATCTGCCTAATTTTTACTAAATTTCTGTACACTTAATTTTTCAAAATGTCATATTCATAACTTGGTATATTGTATGATCGCATTGTTATTTTCATTGTATTATTGTACTGTAAAACATTTAACAATAAGGCTAGACTCCAGATTTTGTTTTGGTATTATCTATTTCAATCAGAATTGCAGAGAACTAATACTGTAAATCGTAAACAAAAAATAAACTAAGGTTCTCAAAGTTCTAGTACAATAAATAAAAAATACTGAACTACAAAAGAATACTTCAACAATAAAGTATTCAGCCTCTTACATTCTATAAGCCTAAACTGATTTTGGTACAGAAGATGTCAGAATCTTACTAATTTGCATAATTTCCTCATTCTTTTTTTATTCAAGAGCATTTTTACAATAAAAGTTGATGGTTTTATGTACACTGGGATAATTTCTCAAAGCTCTCATTAAAGGCAAAGTCCATGAAAAGACAAAACCTTAATTACTGCCTTACCACTGACACCACTGTAATGAAGCAAAATTAAATGATCTTTATTAAACTGCCTTAGATTTTGATATTGCTTGCTTCGATATCTGAAATCTCTTCTTTCTCACAGCTGCTTTTCCTCTCTCCTTCTCTCTCTCTTTCGTGTTTGTCTGTCATGCTGGTTGCTTACTTCTGCTCTCTGGTTGTTTGTAGACATCTCAGTCAGTCTCCTTGCTGTAGTCGTCAGTTTCTGTGGGCTTGCCCTGTTGGTAGTCTCTCTCTTTGTCTTTTGGAAGCTGTGTTGGCCATGCTGGAGGAACAAAGCTCTCACGTCTCATGCCAATAACGTCCCTCAGAATATCCCCAGTGCCCCTCCAGAGGTGGTGGAAACTGAAGAAAAAAAGGAGATCAAAGAAAATGGGAAGAGCTCGGTGAAGCTTCTGGAGGCAGCCATGAAGATTAGTCAGACCTCCCCAGACATTCCAGCCGAAGTCCAGACAGCTCTGAAAGAACACCTCATCAAACATGCCAGGATACAGAGGCAGATCACAGAACCTACCTCCTCATCCAGGTAAAGCAAAAAGAGGATACGCCTTGATGATCGGTGCAAATAGCTAAAGGCTTGTGTGTCCCCTACTGCAGAGAAAAACAGCACTAGCCAGAACCTTTCCCCACCTTGAATATATTTAATATAAAATCAAATCAGATCAAAGTTTATTTATCAAATGCACAACAATACAGCTTGCAGCAGTAGTTGTTTGCAATTAAATGTCTTTTCTGCGAGCTCACAATATTCACCAAAGTCACAAGAATCATAAAAATCACTAATTTAAGGTTACGAAAATAAGGTTACATGATAATAGATAATAATTTAATAGAAATTGAATAAAACTCAATATGAATGGAGCTGCTATGTGTCCATGGTGTATGCAATACATTATGCCCAAGTAGTTCAGTATGCTGAATACAATGAAAACTGTATGTCCATGTAGCCATTACAGGTGATTTGCTAAAGGAGCTGCAGGTTGGCTATTTAGCAGTCTTATTGCCTGGAGGTAGAAGCTGTTCCGTAATCTGTTGGACTTTGACTAAATGCTTCGGTACCATTTACCAGACGGTAGGAGAGAAAACAGTTTGTGACTGGGATGACTGGGCTCCTTGAGAATTGTTTTCTTCAAGTTTGCACTGTTGAAATCACCTGCTATGATGAATGCCCCCTCAGGATGTGTATTCTTGTGTCTGTTAAGGTGACTTAACTTAATATGCAACTCGTCTTTACCATATTTTTTGTAGTGTCAGGCATTTAGGGAGTTTGTCTGTGTGATGTTGGGTTGGGTGGCCTGTGGCTGAGCTACCCTATAGACTCCAAGACGTGTAGGTTGAATTGAACACTTTATTTTAACAAAACAAAAGAAGAAATAACCCCAGAATTCTGTCATACATGTCTGTTCAATGTACTTCTCCCACCCACCAACTTTCATTACCAATCAGAATGAAAGTGCTGCCAAAATCCCCGCTGTACCTTGTTAGCCTACCTGTGATGTACAGTCCTGAATCTGGCGCTTGAAGGGCTCAGCAGCTGAAATGTTTTTTTCTTTCTGCTTTTCAGAACAAAATTATCCTTTACTTTTTCCTTGGCAGTAGATAGTGTTAACTTGCACAGTTTTGGATCACTTCTTCAAGCACTTTGACCTATGCACTGTCATTCTCTGTGATTGGTCATTTCATTTAATTATAAGCACTTGTAGCCTCCACATCAGTTCAGTTTTAAATGTCATATGATTCTGAAAGCCGATAATAGAAAGATGCTTCGGAGCTGGTGCCCTGCTTTTTCCTCAATGACTAATCATGGCAACCATTTCCTTTTCTCCCACTGGATATGGGAGGTGTACCAAGCTGCTGTACCAAAGCTCACACCACCACACATAGTCGGGGCACCTTTGAAGCATGTGTGGTTGAGTTCTGTCCTTGTCCTGACACCAAAGCCCTCTTGCATTCTAGGAAATGGGAAAGTAGTACAGTGAATAGTGAAATGATGCAGATGTCTCAGTTAAACTGCTGTGCTGTCTCCACCACTCCTGGGGCTAGTGTGTGAATGCCAGCACGGAGTCAAGTTCAGTTACAAATTGGTGATTTCAAATGGGTGAGTAAATGTGACAGACTAACATTTTGATAGGTGATTGAATTAGAAGGTTTGGAAGGATTAAAATGAGACACTAAATGCCATCATTTTTTCTTATAGTTCTAGGACATTCTATGTGTCTTGCTAGGCAACACCATCTCTATTATACCCATTTGGTACTGAAAGTACAACTTACCTGTGAGGATAACTCCTGGTGAACTATCTTTGTAATGATTGCTATTTGATAACTATTTTATATGTGACTTGACTTGTAGATTATGTCCCAAGAACTTGAAAAGAGAAGCACTCTGCTTTGCTAAGTATAGCATACTGTAGTAACAGGAAAAACTATCCTGTTGCTGCTCCTTTGTGTGATCCTTATAATCTTGTTAATGTCAGAGGCACTATAAAAAGTATGGGAATTACGGAGCCATGGCAACAGTAGTAAACTACCCCAGTAATTAAATAATCAGTTACTTGTCTACATATTCTGTGACTTGGTGTTTAACAAGCACCATGTAATTAGTAACATGGCTAAGTGGAACTGATGTGCTTTTGAGTTTCAAGTCGCACTGGGACCAAGCAAACAGCTGCACTTTGCCTCCTGAAAGAACCACTATTGACACTTAGTTTAGCCTGTCTTTATGTACTGTGTTGTTGGTTACTTACCCCAATTTAGTAAGAACTACAGTACATGTACAGTCTCTGCTTAAAAAGACAAAGATAGGCAGTTTCCCACAGCCATTTTAAACTAAAGAATTGTTGCATTTACAAATGAAAATATTCCATCACCCCTTATTTAACTTCAAAGAGGATTGTAACTAGGACGTTAGTTGAAAGTGTGTATGCAAATTCTGCTTGCAACTGTGTACCAGTAAATAAAGGCAGGAATGCCTGCGATTCTAGTACTTTTCCCATCTTCTTACACTTGTCAGAAGAATACGTTTGCATAGATTTGTCTCGCCTTGCTGAGGTTTGGTCTCCTTGTTATAAGGAGTTATTTGGGCAAGCATCATAACCATCACAGTGCAAACCCATTCACAGTTTCCTTACCACTGAGACCCAAATACAGTTATCATACAAATATCGAACATTGAGGCTTAAACTTCATTGTCACTGGTAAAGGTGGTTTTTTCCTCTCTGTGATTTGTTTTTCTCTCTGGTTCATAGCAGTTTTATCACCTTCAATTTGAAGTCCTTGATTACCATAAAATAATGGTAAAAAATGTAAATATAAGAAAGTGTTTAGCATATAGATTAGCATAAAGTATTTTTGACTAGATGTGCTTTAAACAATTTTTAGTGCATAAATATATACAGTAATACTTTTGCTTGACTCATAGCAGGAATACCTCCTCACAATTCACTTCATAAAGCAGGTGTTTATTATTCTTTGTCTTAGAAGGCAGATAGACCAACTAGGTAAATACCAGTGGGTATAGAAAGTCACCACCCTCTTTCAAAATTTGTACCTTCTGTTGTATGGCACTTTGAAAATAAAAACTAATTACATTTGGCTTGTTCCATTTTTATTTACACACAGTAACCCACATTAGCTGAGAGAAAATAAAATTCTAAAACGTTAATTAATTAATTTTACAACAGTAAAATAACTTTTTTAGATAAGTGAACACAAAAGGGGTAGTGACTTTCTATACCCACTTTTTGTACCAAAGTAATAAAAAACTGACAAAAGTTCTACCAAAAGGCTTGCTTTAATTCATGTTATAATTTTCATAAACTTCATTGCTTTAGTTACAGAAGCACATTGTTGCCTATAATGACAAAAAAATCCTGTGGTATCTTATGATCACAAGAAATTTGTCTTTTTATTACAAGATAGAGCATCAGCTGATTATTGCAAGATACCAATGATTATTTGAGTCTATGAACAACAGTATTCCATTGTCAGCAACCGAGAGCTCAGCTGAAACTCTGGGTTAAGTGTTTGTGACAGTGTCCAACTCTGCAGAATGTGCACTTGCTTGGGATTTGTTCATGATGAAATCTCATAATTTGAACCAACAGTAATGTGAGCACAGTCATTATAACCATGAGGACACTCATACTTATCCGTAAATAAGGAAGGGTACTGTGAAATTGCTTCTAGTGCCTAAAAATGGAAGTCAACTAATGATAATGTGTATTGCATTACAATTGTACTATCATGTTATAATCACTTAAAGTACCGGGATAATGTATTATCTCGTAAGATAATTATTTTGTTATTGCCAAATAACAGAAGATAAATATTTTTTTCTTGATGGCAGCAATGTACTTTTTAGTTTTAGTTGTGTAGTTGAAAGACATTTCAGCGCACTGCAGATTTGTTCTTTCAAGCCAGACAACAGATGTCCCTATTTTAATGAATAAGGAGCATGTCTAAACCACTTAGGACAATTACTACCAGCTAGGGTATATTTGCCTGCTTCCAGTAGGTGTAGTTTTGTTGCTGTGAAATGGGAATGGACACAAGCCAACCTCCAAAAAATGCAAGGAGGGATTAGCAGTTTTTATTGAAACAGTGAAGGAAGTCTAAACATTGCAGTTTATGAAACAGGGGACATATTTTTTCTCCATCTGCCTAATAGGAAGACTAAGGGTATATATTCTCTCAGTGGAGTGACCTGAATCTGAAGACCTGGGTCTGTGATTATTGTAACATGTCTTGAGCTTGATTCTGTACCATCATACAGTTTACCTAAAATGTATTAATATGTAATCTCATGTTATAAAAGATTATATATTATCTGTTTTAGTTTTGAATTCTTGCCTTTATTTTATTTGAGTTTTTTTACAGTAAATATAAATTTCTTCCTTTGTTTATAGTAAATATATATACATATAAATTATATATACAGTATATACAGTATGTATAACATTATGGTGCAGAGATTTACCCACTTAAATGTCAGCTTTGCATGACCCTTTAATTGGGTCATTGGTCATGTGACCTGCAGTGGGTCCATTATAAAGGTATCATTTAAATGGGCGATGCAACAGAAAAGCTGCATATTAGTTCCCATAACTCAAATCCAGTATTTTAAATTCAGCACTGTGCTTGTTCAACTGTGATTTTGAAACCATTAGAATATAAAGTTAATGGCTCAAGACACTGCATCTAACAGCTAGTGGAAACAGGTGTTAGTTGCTAGGAAACAGAAGAACATAAAAAAGCCAAGGTTTGTGGAAAGACTTCACTTTCATTAACAGAATGAGGGGAAAAAAGCACACAGCAGCTCCAGAGGTTTAATTATTTTAATCAAACATTTTATAGCCTGTTCTTTAATCTCAATATTTTAAAGTAAGCGTGATATATTGAATTACAACTAAAGAAAAGTTTTTTTTTTTTAAAAAGTAATCTAAAAATAAACTTAAACAGTTAATTTCATTCAGTGTTTAATTTCGCAGTGAATTGTGATTTTAGCATATGTACAGTATAAGATACTTATATTTTATTGATCCCGTGAAGGAAATTGCAATGCAACAGTGGCTTAACACAGTCAACACAGCACAGTGTAACGAAATGATACAATAATACACAATACAGTACAGTTAGTGAGAAGTGCACTAAGAGTAACTCACAATCCAGAATATACAAAGAAACAAACCAGAACAGTACACAAAAAGTTGTATTACACAACATAAATATAAATGTATTGCACAAGTCCCTGGCATATATTGCACAAAAAGCCAGATGTAAGCAGAGAGTTTACTGTTTAGTACAAAAACAGGTTAATGTCAATGTTGCCCCTGCCCAGACACACAGTGGATGCGTTGTACAGTCTTATGGCAGAAGGCGTTCTTAGACCATTCCAGTCTATCATCCATTTGCACTCCCAGGTACTTGTATGAGTCCACTATCTCCATGCTACACCCATGGATATAGACAGGAGTAGGCTGGACCCTTTTCGTCCTGAAATCTATCACCAACTCCTTCGTCTTTGCCACATTCAATTGCAGGTGGTTCTCCCCACATCACTCCTGCAATTGAATGTGGCAAAGATGAAGGAGCTGGTGATAGATTTCAGGAGGAAGGGGTCCAACCTATAAGCAGCACAGAACTGTATAAAGTTGCCAAAAACTGGCACAGTGTTCAGCTTTTTTTATTTTTATCACAAAAATGGTTAGTTTTGACTTATAAATAGCAGAAAATGTAATTTTATGAGTCTTTAGGATTAGGATGTACAAAGCTTTTAGGGTTTGATTCAGGCTTTGGGTTCGGTCTTTTAAAGAGCAGTGTTAATTCTTCTTTTCCTTTGTGACAGGCATAACTCCTTCCGCAGACACCTGCCTCGCCAAATGCATGTGTCAAGTGTGGATTTCAGTATGGACAGTGTGCAGATGAGACAGACTTCTACCAGCATCGGCCGAATTAAGCCAGAACTCTATAAGCAGAAGTCAGTTGATTCTGAAGATAACAACCAGGAAAATGTCCAAACCTGTGGAAAACTGAACTTTGCTCTCCAATACGATTATGAGAACGAGATGCTTATCGTTAAAATGATCAAAGCACTGGAGCTGCCTGCCAAGGACTTCACAGGGACCTCAGACCCCTATGTCAAGATGTATCTGCTTCCAGACCGGAAAAAGAAGTTTCAAACTCGAGTTCACCGAAAAACTCTCAACCCAGTCTTTGACGAGACCTTTCAGTTTCCTGTGGAATATGATCAGCTGTGCAACAGAAAACTGCACTTCAGCGTGTACGACTTTGACAGGTTCACAAGTCACGACATGATCGGGGAGGTTATCGTGGACAATCTCTTTGAGGTGTCTGATCTCTCCAGGGAAGCAATAATGTGGAAGGACATTAACTGTGCCACCACCGTGAGTATACCCTTTCATGTCTGAAAAAAACTAATCTGAATACCAAAACACCTGCAGTTTTCAAGTTTAAATGGTATAAAAGTAAACCTAGGTGAACATGCTTATCAACTTCAGCCTTTCTTGTTTTAATTCTCATTTTGCACAGGCTTTTCTTGATGTAGGAAAATTAATAATTCATCAGCTCCTTTCACCTCAAATACCCTGTACAGACAGATGCTTTTCAGAAAAAAAACATTAATCTAACACAGGAAACAAGTAAAGGTTTATTTCATGCTGAAAAGAGAAGAAGAAACACAACGTTTCAGCTGGGGAGCATTCTTCGGGTGTTGACGGCATGGAATAAACCTTTACTTGTTCCTTTGCAGCCTACGCATGTTGATGCAGCTCCCTACTTAATCTAATACAGCCTTGCTTGTGACCATGCCAACACGTTCACTGGCCACTCACACCCCTAGACTCGCAGTTTTTCAGCTTCCCGATTTTAATACAGGGCAATTTAGGTGAACTGCAGCTGGGTTTCCTTCCTTGGTCTTTTCTCTATAGCAGAAAACTCTTTTAACCACGATCCAGGACTGCACACCCATCCCTCGGTGACACCCTGAGCCTCACAGGCTCTTACGTGGAGTTGTTAGCCATAATGATATCCCTAAACCATGTAACCCCAAACCAGGTACCTTTGACTTACGAACACACATACCGCTATAAACCATGAATCATTAACTGTAGCCATACAACCCGTACCAGATCTGTACCCCCACTAGACTTTCCTTATAAAACACTTGTTGTTTTCACTTTTGTGTACTGCCCTCTGGGATTATTGTTAATAGCATCTGCTCTCCCAGGATGAAAGGCGAGACGTCCTTTTACCAGGCAAGTGAGTGATCCTGAGACAGTTCCCTGCACCACCTCTGTGCATCCCGAGGGCTCCTACAAACCCCACCTCTCAAGCTCAATGTCCCCTTTTGGGGAGAGAAGACTAAATGCTGTAACTGCTAATAACCAGTAATTATAGTTCCCTGACTAATTTACCCCTAAATTTCTTTAAATAGTAATTGCAGTGGAAACCTACTTGGCTGATCGCGTTTGGCCAGGGTTGCTACCTGTAATCTATACCTGCTAACCTGAAACGGCAACAGCTACTACTTTAACCTACTCTTCTCTGTTGCCATGGGAAACCTCCTGCTAATCCTAGTGGCTATCAGCTTGGCTGCCACCCGAGAGCTATGCCTCCATGCTAACAAGAGGGTGAGACCAGACCTCCTTACCTTGGGAGCTAACCATTGGTCCTCCTCGGAGACTGCTCTCCAGGGGGTATATCTGTCTCAATCCCAACTACAGAGGCTGCTGATGAGCTGCAACTGTGGGCTACACTGCTTATACATGCAAATGTGTTCACTTCACCCATGTGCACATATTTGCCCAATCTCTCTAATACTCTTAACACAACCAGTTGGCCTGTATATTGTTCCATAGATGTTCCAACCAAAAAACTCGCATCACAACAAAGGTTCCCCTGTTACAGGCCTCCACAGTATTTTCCTCAGATATTTTTTCTTCAACAGCTAATATGTAATAATAATAATTTCTTAAACGTTTCTGGACACTCCACTCAAAGCACTTAACAAGTAATGGGAGCTCCCCTCCACCACCACCGAGTGATAAAGCCGATTCATAGATGGGGATTATTAGGAGGTCATGATTGGTCAAGGCCAGGAAACCAGAATAACTCTATTCGAGCAATTTGTTATTACCTCAGTTTTATGTTGCATTCAAAGGACAGGGCCTTTTTTACAGTATAGCGTCCCCATCACTATACTGGGGTATTAGGAACCACACAGGGTGAGCGCCCCCTACTGGCCTCACTATCACCTCTTCGAGCAGCAACCTTAGCTTTCTCAGAAGATAGATAAATTCTTTATTGATCCCGTGAGGGAAATTGCAGTGCAACAGCAGCTTAGCACAGCCAACAATACAATAAATACAACAATACAATACATACAATACAATCAGTATAGTCAGTGAGAAGTGCACTAAGAAGAGTTGCTCACAGTCCAGGACATACAAAGAACAAACCAGAACAGAACACAAAAAGTTGTATTGCACATTATAAATATATTGCACAAGTCCCTGGCATATATTGCACAAAAAACAGTTGTAAACAGGAAAAGCCAGATGTAAGCATTGAGTTTACTGTTTAGTCCAAAAACAGGTTAATGTCAATGTTGTCCCTGTCAAGACACACAGTGGATGAGTTGTACAGTCTTATGGCAGAAGGCAAGAATGACCTCCTGTAGCGCTCCCTGTCTCACCGTGGTTGGATCAGCCTGTTGCAAAACGTGCTCTTCATTCTCACAAGCATGTCATGAGGGGATTGGAGACGTTGTCCATGATGGCCCCTAGTTTGGACACCATTCTCCTCTCAGCCATTACCTCCAGGGGGTCCAGATCAGACCCAATGACAGAGCTTGCTCTTCTGATGAGCTTGTTCAGCCTGTTAGCATCCCCTGCTCTAATCCCAGAGCCCCAGCATACCACCGCGTAGAAAATGGTGCTCGCCACCACCGACTGATAGAACATATGTAGCATCTTACTACACACATTGAAGGACCTTAAGAAGTAAAGTGGGCTCTGACCCTTCTTGTAGATGGCCTCTGTATTCTTAGACCATTCCAGTCTATCGTCCATGTGCACTCCCAGGTACTTGTATGGGTCCACTATCTCCATGCTACTCCCAAGGATGTAGACATGAGTAGGTTGGACCCTTTTCCTCCTGAAATCTATCACCAGCTCCTTCAGCTTTGCCACATTCAATTACAGGTGGTTCTCCCCACACCACTCCACAAACCTGCTGACCAGTCCTCTGTACTATTCCTCCTGCCCACCCTCAATATACAGTATCTCACAATTGTAGAGTCGTCTGAACTTCTGCAGGTGGCATGACTTTGAGTTGTATTTAAAGTCTGAAGTATAGAGGGTGAAGAGGAACGGAGAAAGAATTGTCCCCTGAGGAGCCCCTGTGTTACTCACTGCCTGTTCAGACACAAAGTTCTGCAGTATCACAGACTGTGGTCTGCCTGTCAGATTGTCTGTGATCCATGAGATCATGGAGGCACCCACCTGCATCTCCTCCAGCTTCCTACCTAGCAATAGAGGCTGGATAGTATTGAAGGCTCTGGAGGTCGAAAAACTTAATCCTCACAGTGCTGCCAGCCTAGTCCAGGTGCTATTAGGACCTTTGCAATATGTAGATGATTGCATCTTCCACACCAACAGTGGGCTGGTAGGCGAACTGTAGGGTGTCCGGTAATGACCTGATAAGGGGTCACAGGTGGGACAAGACCAGCCTCTCCAGTGTCTTCATGACATGAGAAGTCAGCACAACTGGTCTGTAGTCATTGAGGACAGAGAGGTGTCCTTTCTTTGGTACCAGGACCAGGCATGATGTCTCCCCAGGTCTCCCATCTAGGTTCTGGCTGCAGGGACCAGGCATGATGTCTCCCCAGGTCTCCTATCTAGGTTCTGGCTGCAGGAGCTGAGTATGCTACTGCTTAACCCTTCTGTTGGCTGTTAGCTCAGCTGCCACCCGAGAGCTATACTTCTGTACCGAGTTGCAGAGTTTATATAGCTGCTGACAATGTATCGTATAGGCAGTTACCTACAGTACAATACAGTATGTATTCCTTTTGATTTTTTTAACTACCATTCACATTTTAAGAAGAAGATCGTTTTAAGCAGGATTATTAGGGAAAAAAAACAGCTTTAATGGGTGTAATTGTGTACTTTTTACACATATTGAATCTGTGTGATTGTGTATTATGCCTTGATGCAATGTCATGCCTGTGCAGTGTACCTTTGTAATATGTTCACAGACCACTATCACTATTCTTCTAGAAATTCATTCACTTAAAGAGCATGCAGAAGCATTAGGCCCATTTTACTGAACCTGACTAAGGATCCTCAAGAGTGGATAGAGACTGTCATAGCAAATTCCTAGAAATAATAAAGCCACATTTTTGGTTAATGACTAAGGCACAGCTGCACTTATCATTAATGTCAAAGAATATAAATTAGGGAGTTTTAATGTTTTTTTTCCCACCATAATTATATATGGTATCCAACTTAAGAATTCATAACTGTTGCATTAACATATTCTTTTTGTTTTAGATATAATTTGGATTCCTGAAATCCATTATTCTGTTTAAATAATTTATCATCACTTTAGCAATTAAGAAAGCTGTTTCACTGTTTTTTTTAATGTGTTGTTTGATTTTGTAACTACTTAAAACCATTAGAGGCTTTGCATCATTTATATTAACTTCTATTTTTGACATATGAAAAATACATATTTTATCAATTAAACAAAGTATGTTAACGTACACATTGTATTTTGCATATTTTAAAATATAATTTACAAACATACTGTACTACACTGTGATTTTTTTTTCTAAATACTGTATTACCGTGGCTTTTTGGTTTAAAAAGACCTTTTACAGAATGTAAAAATGCAAGTAGATTTGGTGGGGGAAAAAATTGACTTTGGCAAATCAATAATCTTACACAGGTTCTAATTAAGAGATTATGTTGTAAAGAGACTGCTGTGCTTTCTTATTAAAACTTCTAATTTTATATCTGAATCAAAGTACAGAATTTATTCAGCATCTTAAAACTGAAGCTGATCCTGACACACTGTAGTATGATGCCACTGTGTTATTAGACCATTTGCAGAGAACAACACAAAAATAAAGAAATGATTTTAAAAATGAATTTTGGTTATCTGTAAATTAATTTTAAGAGGCCTCTGTATCAATATTAGGCCAGCTGTATTAATCTTGTTTCTCTACATTATATTACCTGTGATATTCCCTTAGTGGTACTGTGCGTCATACAGTAATGATACATTACAGAGTGGCCTTCGCCAGACTCAACATAACTAAAGGTTACATGTTGTTCAACTCAGTGCAAAGCAAATAAGACTGAAAATGAATGACTCACTCGGGACC